TTCGCCCTGCTCAGGCATAGTTCACCATCTTTCGGGTCCCAACGCGACTACTCAACGCACCCCGGGCGCCGAGGCCCCCGGGGCGGTCCGTGGTGCGGGCAGCACGAGGCCGCCTTCTCACGGGTCGCTTTCACTGTCGCCATTGTGGTTTCCAACCCATTGGCTCGCAGCCGCGTTGGCCTCCTTGGTCCGTGTTTCAAGACGGGTCGCATCAGCCCGTTTCGCCAGCGCCGACCCGTGAGGGTCATCCTCGGTCTCCGCCGCGGTGGGAGCGAGCTCCTTTTCCCGCGGCATCGACCGGCGCTGCGTACCTCCGGGCCCCGCGCGAACGGGGCCCGCAGGTTTGCTTGGGCTCATGCGCTTATCCTCCTGACGATTTCAAGCACTTTTTACTCTCTTTCCAAAGTTCTTTTCATCTTTCCCTCGCGGTACTTGTTCGCTATCGGAAACCTGGCCGTATTTAGCCTTGGATGGAGCTTACCACCCATGTTGGGGCTGCACTCCCAAGCAACCCGACTCTTCGGATGCGTCTCGTGGAGTGACGGGTCGTCGCCCGACGGGGGTGTCACCCTCTCTGCCGCCACTTTCCAGTGGACTTAAGGCGGCGCCCGTCACAGAGAACGCTTCCTTTTCAGACTACAATTCGGAGGGCCGGGGGCCCTCGGATTTCAAGCCTGGGCTTTTCCTTGGTCGCTCGCCGCTACCAAAGGAATCACGGTTGTTTTCTTTTCCTCCGCTTAGTAATATGCTTAAATTCAGCGGGTGGTCTCGCCTGACTTGAAGCCATCGTTTGGGGTTTGCCCGGTTCCTCCCCGTCCGACCATTTTTGTACGAGCCCCGTCCGCCTCTCGCCCGTTCTTGTGCGCTACTTTGGAGGGGGAGACCGGGGGTTGCCACGCCCCCGGCTCCCGAACCTTTTCGCGACCGTCTCGGGAGAGAAAAGAGGGACCGAGTGACCGGCCCCCCCACCTGCTGGGAGGTCCGGACGGAGTCCGTTGGCCGGCTGGGTTCGCCGAGCCCAGCGGGGTCGCCGCCCGCCTCATCTCGCTCGTCCCACTCGCGTCCTCCCGGGTGGCGCCCGGGGATCTGCACTGGGGTCGAGAGGAGCGGAGACGGGCTAATGCGGCCCTGCGATTTCAACCGACTGCCCCCCATTTGTGCCCCGGAGCGCACGGGTTGCGACGGCCATCTCGTTTTCCCAGGTACGAGCGATTGTCTCGGAGAAAGGGGGGGGCCGGAGCCCACACCAACCCGAGCGCCCCTTGTCTGCCCCGCATTGCTTTCCCGTCCCGTTTCCCCTGCCGCACTTAGCTGCGTGCGGAGGGGTGGGTTCGGATGCGAGGTTCCACCTGGATGTGTGTGGCGTTCAAGCAGACGTGCCCTCGGCCGAGGCCTCGGGCGCAACATGCGTTCAAAGTTTCGATGATTCACGGAGTTTTGCAATTCGCATTACGTATCGCATTTCGCTGCGTTCTTCATCGAGCCAGGTTCCAAGATATCCATCGTCAGGAGTGGGGTCCCAGTTTTTATTAGGTGCCGGGGCCCGTGGGCGCCCCGCTCAAGGGAGGGTTTTTTGCGACCGGACGGCCAGTTCCGGTTGCGGAGAGGTTTGTATTCCGCCTCTGCCCGCAGCTCCTTGATGCACTGCGAGCGGGACGGTTGGGGGTAGCAAAAGGGTCCCTTTGCCATCACCGCGGGCGCCCCTTCCCGAGCCTTCCTAGAGGAATTCAGAAGGCCGGGCGAGCAAGACCCCGCAGTCACACCGCCGATGCCAAGAGAGACCGAGCACCGGTGGCGGGGGACGCTGGATTGGGAGGAGGAGCGTCGGAAGGAAAGGTGTTCAGAGGATACTCGAGGTCAGGCCCCGGGCTTCCCTCGCTTGCGCTTGGTAGGCCCGAGCTGTTTCCATCAGGGCTGGGGAGTTTTTTTTTTTGTCCGCATGGACGCCCGGTGCCGCCGGGTTGCTGCATTCCCTGGTGTCGAGGCTCGTCACGAACTGGAAGGAAAGAGCTTCGGGTGCCACCCCTCCGCCCAGGCCGACCGTGTCCGCGTCTTGCCTCGCTCCCGATCGCGGCTAGCCTTTCGGGTGGCGGCCCTAATAAGCTCGCTGCGTGAGAGGGGACGGCAACCTGACCTCCTGCGAGAGGAGGTTCGCCCGGTCCCCCCGAGTTGCGAGCAACCCGGAGGACCCGAGGGCGGTCGTTTCGTCACTCGTTCTTAGGGGCGTTTGCCGAGGTCTGGGATCAACCAGGGCGGTGCCCCATGCCTGTCGGGGTGCGCTTTCCGTTCAGCACCACAACGGATCCATCGGTGCTCGGACTTTTTTCGAGCCACCGCACCACGCCAGCTCGCCGATCGCTCGCCAAAACGACCGACGCGCTCGCGGGGCACGGCCTGAGGTGGGGTTCCTGCATTGTTCCGACGGATCCTCCGACAAGGCCACGGGCACGGAGATCCGGCAGCCGGCTGAACGCCGGTCGTCATCCTTCCGTGCCCTCGAGCGTGCTCTGGACGCTCGCCTCCTCCTAGGAGGAACGCGAGAGCCCGCCATCTCTCTCGTCGCCGCTCGCAGCCCGGGCACGGGTGGAACCCGATTCCTTTTTGCGAGCGGGACGCGAGCACGCGCTTTCCCCACCCAGGAGGCCGATGCAACGCGAGCGCCGCACCTGCCGACCCGGGGTTTGGGCTGCGATTGACCCCGCAACCCAAGGGCTCACTGAGTGTGTCAATGATCCTTCCGCAGGTTCACCTACGGAACGGTGAAATCCTGCATCCTCTTCGGGACGAGGAGCGCGGTCTCCCGCGCTCGCCGACTGTATCTTAGGCCTGCTCGGAGGCAGACCCACCGTCGTTCAGTCTGTGAACTGCCCCTTGCCGGTCTCGGGTCCTGGAGGTAGGACCCGGAGACGGGCCCGGGTTGGCTGCGGATCGTCTCACCCGGCCGTGCGTTGTCACCATACCCCGACGCCTTGTCTGCGTCGGGCCACGCCCCCGGCCGTCTGACCCCGTCGATAAGAGGGGGGCAGCCGAGCCGGGCCGGCGCTTGGTAGCACGGCCTCTCGAGAGGTCTCCGCAGTTGGACGGTGTCGCGCCGAGGGGGGTCGCGCTCACGGGCCGCAAATCCCACCCCGGTGCACTAGCGCTTAGCGTCCCTCCCCTCTCTATCCGTCGGCGAGAGGGAGAGACGCACCTGCCCCTCGAGAGGCAGGCCGCTCAGGCTTCCGTGTACGTGCAAAGCCCCTGCGGAAGGGGTTTTGTGCCGCGCACGGCAACCTTGTTACGACTTCTCCTTCCTCTAAATGATAAGGTTTAATGAACTTCAGGCAGCGTCACCGACGGGTGACCGTCAGCGTCGTCGCTTTCCGTAAACTTCACCGGATCATTCAATCGGTAGGAGCGACGGGCGGTGTGTACAAAGGGCAGGGACGTAATCAACGCGAGCTGATGACTCACGCTTACTAGGTATTCCTCGTTGAAGATCAATAATTGCAACGATCTATCCCCATCACGATGAATTTTCAGAGATTTCCTAGACCTCTCGGTCAAGGGTGAGCTCGTTGAATTCATCAGTGTAGCGCGCGTGCGGCCCAGAACATCTAAGGCATCACAGACCTGTTATTGCCTCAAGCTTACAGTTGGCTAAACGCCAACAGTCCCTTTAAGAAGTCAGCTGCGAACGCGAGCGTTCGCATGCCTATTTAACAGGCTGAGGTCTCGTTCGTTAACGGAATTAACCAGACAAATCACTCCACCAACTAAGAACGGCCATGCACCACCACCCATAGAATCAAGAAAGAGCTCTCAATCTGTCAATCCTTACTATGTCTGGACCTGGTAAGTTTCCCCGTGTTGAGTCAAATTAAGCCGCAGG